AGGACCTCGAGTCCACATCGTACAAGCTCTGGTTGAAGAAACAGGGCATATTGAGCTTGGAGAAGACTCAGGGGACCCATAATTGTCATGTCAAGAGCCATTGCTCTTTCCTACTATGGCATCCATACTATGGACACCCTTCTCTACTGAAGGGCAGGCCAAGCATTATGTAGTGGGAGGGTTATATAAAGGCTTAAAAAAATATTCAGAGCTTTGTACGTGTTAGACATTTGTACAATGCCTTGTCTTTCAGTGCCTGACCCTGCCTAGCACTGTCAGGCTTCATGAGCACTTAAATCGCTGTGATTTCTAAAATGTAGTAAATTAACTGTGAGCTATTTCAAGTTTGGTATTTCTGTTGCAGCTGAAGTCACAGTATATGAGCTGAGGGTGGAAAAGCTGAATGCATGGTTAATACCCTCAATCAGCCATATTTACTTACTACTTTGATAGCATGTCTGAGGTCTGCACCATTGACACGGAGCCGTTTCAAGCTTCTCTGTCTAACTAATTCTGAATACATCTGACTGCATTTTTGTTTAATCCATGTCTCCATCTCCTCAACAAGAATATTGTGAGATACCTTAATGAAAGTTTTGCTAAATCTAGGTAAACCACATGTTTCATGTTGATTATTAATCCTATCTCTTGGCCAGCAAGTATTGAATATTTTGAAATCTATGGTTTCTTTTCTTTGTGTTTTGGTGCAGTTGACTAAGACAGCAGGAGTTGCTTCTAACCTATCTTGACTTTTGCTTATTTTAGCTTTCCTTAGTTGGATTCCTTCTTCTGGACAAAGAGGAGACATAATATTTCTATTTGCTTTTGCGCCACCTGAGATCAGGGAACACCCTATCCCTCATTGGCTCTCTTTATGTGCCTTTGAATGTTTGATCAATTCTTGCTCTGACTTACATGGTTTATTTGTCTTCCATTCCCTTGATTCCTTCTTGTTTTTTTCATCTTTGTTGAACATTACTTACCAATAATTGCGTCAGCTAGTTACGGTTTGGGTTGATTTTTTTTTTTTGGCATGAGGTCATGTTTCTGCATTTCCTTCAGATCTTTCCCAGACTTGCTCAGTTCCAAGAATCCAATGTTACAAGTTTCCTTGTACATATTGTAAATCTCTTTCCCTGTTGGGGTGTTTGACCCACTTCAGTGGTTTTTAAGTACTTTCTCATTATTGAAAACAACGACAACAAATCTCTTTGAAGAAATCGGTTTTTTTCAGTACTGATAATTGTGGTTTCCTAATTGCCTTTTCAGTTTTGAAAATCAGTCTTTCATTTGAATCTTCATTTCAGAACTCTAAACTTTTAAATCTGTAATAGGATTTTGTTTCGGTGGCTAATATATTTCTTTTAAAACCCTTGAAAGTATAAATAAATTATAACCTTTCTGTATTATCCAAGGCTGCTGGCTCTCCAACAATTGTGAGAAGTTGGAGGGGTCATTTATCCATTTTTGTCTTTTGGAGATAAACTTAGGAGTTTTCTCTTTGATTAAGTTGAGAGCTCATTTCCTTCTTATTTGGTTTGTGGTGATAATAAGTGGCCTCTGAGGTCCCTTGCAGCTCTGTGATTCTGTGCTGGGGATTTGTTTTGTGACTGTCTCCATGTTAACTGGTGGAACTTTAAATTTTTATCTTTCCCCCTTGGAGTGCCTGACCCACTTAAGCCATTTTTTAAAACAACTTTTTCATTCACACATTCTTGTTTAATTGACCTAAACTTATGCATCTCAGTAAGTTACAGTAGATACTTTTATTTTAGAATTTATTTCTGGTTGTGAGTGAATGAGTAGAAAAAGGCATTTATTAAATGTTAACTATGTGCAAAGCACTGGCTTAGGGATAGCTCTTAGTAGCATTCTAATGAAGGAAACAATACATATTGAAGTTTTCATCTGGTCCCATGGTCTTTAGAGTGCATGACTTTTCTTTGTCATTTACACTGATAGAAGCTTATGGTTCTGATGATGAACCATTTGATAGTACCAAGGACTTTGGGGGTGAAAACTTTGGGTCTTCAGGAGCTGTGTCTGTACCACTGCAGACACCCTGCCTTTGCAGGGGAGGGGGTTGCTTTTGGGGATGATGCTGCAGAGCTGATGGTCTTGGGATTCCCTGCCCATTGGTGGCAGTTGGTGTTGGTGGTAGTGAGGAAGGTGGGTCCCTTCTCCATAGATCATTGTCCCCTCGACAATGGTGGATGGGGCCTGGACTAGAAGCAGGGGTAGTGGGCTTGGGAGCACTGCTCTTCCCTGTATTCTTGGTTGGGTTCAGGGTCTTGGCCTGTCTCCATCATTGTCTGACAGAGAGGTGGTGGGTTTGACTTGTCTGGAATAGGCTGCCTCCTCTCTCTCCTCCAGGGTACTTTTTTGCTCCAACTAGGCTGGTCCAGTGAGTAGTCATTGGCTGCCAGGTGGTGGGAATGGTCCTGGGATAGTTATGTGAATTTAACTAATGTCGCGTCCATATTCTACATACTCTAGAAATTAGATTACTTTCTCAGGAAGAAATAGGACTCTTTCCATGACCACAGTGACTCTCATGGTGGGGTAAAGGACTAAACCAGTCAGTCCTGAGGCAGATCTATTTGTATATCTCTGAGAGATCTAAAAATCCCTTTTGGCTTTTATTCAGTTAATAGGTTAATTGAAACTCACTGCTTCTGTTAAAGGGCTGTTAGTTACAAGTGTAATGGGCTGGCATCAGCCCAGCTGCTTCTTCCTTTGGGTGAGAACCTCAGGGCACTTGGCTGTCGACCCTCCCTTCGTTCTACCTCCCAAGTTCTTATACCAATAGTCTTTATCTAGGGATGTGGGGTTTGTATTTGCACCAGATTGTCCAGCTGACTCCAACCCACTGCTTCGCCACGTCCATTTATTCCTTCCCTTTCATAAATCTCATTTAAGAGCTTTACCAAGGTCATCATCCCTTTTGGAAAGTGTTTCATGTGGGAACAAGGTTAGAGATAAAGAGCTGGAACGATCTCAGGAGTGATCTAGTCCACCCCTTCCACAGATGAGGAAACTTAGGTCAGGTTACTTGCCTGTTAAGTTAATATAAAATCTTGATCGAGCACAGGGCATATCACAGAGCCCAGGTCAGCGCTGCTACAACATCTCTAAGGGTGATGGACAAAATCCTGCAGGGTCACTTCTTAGCTCACATCCCAGTTGGAGTGATTTCTGGGATTCTGCTGCTGGATGCAGGAGTGCAGAACGCCTGGTACCACTCCCCAGAGCCGTGCACGCTGAGGCGAGTGGCAGGTGGCTGGAGAGGATTTTATTTTCCCTAGCTCTCTTAGCTGTCCGTCAGTCTTCTGTCTCCCTGAAGATTGAGTGTATGCATCCTTCTGTATTTGGGTCCCCCAAACTCCCAGATAGCAGCGTCTCCACCAGAGTCTCCCTGAAGGCATGCAGAGACCCTTCTTCAATGGCTGATCTTTCCCCCATCTCTGGGTTCCCTCTTTCCAGAGTCCAGCCCATGCCATGGGGATGCTCTCTCTGGGCATGAATGCCCCCAGTTGGGTGGAACCCCACGTGGACCTGCCCGTAGAGAGCTTTAATCCTCCGAATGCTAGATTTTAATCGGTTTATTCTTCAGCACAGCCAACTTCACAAGGGCTTATTCATTCAGTGAGGCCCAATGAAGTGCCTCGGGGAAAGAGGGGATTTCTCCATGAATAAAGGACAAAGACACAGCCTGCACAGCATTGCCCTGCAAAACTAATCATCACCCAGTCTTAATGTCTCAAGATCCCCATTGTCCCATCCAGTGAATGCCTCAGACTGAAATGGGGTGCCTGGTGGCGATCAGAGCTAGCACTTGAGGTGACTGCTATGTGCAGGGACATGGTGTAAGGCTGGAGAGCCAACCTCCAAGACGGGGCGATCTGGATTCAAATCCTGCTTGTGACTCATACTGGCTCTGTGATCATGGGTGAGGTGCTTAATTCCTCATGGTGGTTGAAAAGAAAAGTGCCAACCTGCTTTAGTGGAGAGAATTTCCTCACCTGGAAGTTCATTATATAAACAAAATCAAAGGCCAATTCCCTCTTCCTGCACAGAACGCTATGACAGTAAATATCCAATGAACCAATCAATGGCAGGTGGGGGTGTGACTTGTTCTATGTAGGAGGTGTGGATGTGAAGTAGAGACCAATTCTACAAGTAACACGATAGTCAGACCGCCTTACTTATTACGTAATAAGTAATAATTCATTCACACCTCATTCTTCCAAAGGTCTCTGTTTTCATTGATGTGAGCACTTCTTCCACAGAATCATGGGAATTGGACAGGATCTCAGAGATCCAACCCCTTTGTTTACAAATGGGGAAACTGAGGCCCAGAGAGGTTATGATTTCCCCAAGTTTATACAGGTAGTATGTAGCAGAGCAGGATTTGAAACTGGGTCCTGAGTCCAACTCCAGTGTTCTCTCCACATCACACTCTCTTAGTAGATCCTTTCATGATCCTCCAGGCTTTGGGTGATCTGCCCCTTTGACTGGGCTGGTTTTCAGTTGCCTTTCTGCTAGTGTGTGTGTGTGTGTATGTGTGTGTGTGTGTGTGTGTGTGTGTGTGTGTGTCTAGATTTGTGATCTCCTTAGTACAGGGCACTGCCAATGAAGCAACATCCCTTTAGCAGGGCAGGTCCTCCAGTCTGAGAGCTTCCTGGGGCCCTAAGGGACAACCTCTGAGGTTCCTTCGTGCTTGACTTCTGAGACCCCAAGTCAGTATGTATAGAGACAGAATTTGAACCCAGATTGTCCTAACCCCGAGGTCAAATCTCTCTCCATGACCTCACCTCTTGAGGGCATTAAAAAAGTAAAAATCATTGCTTTGGGCGTCCCTTATGATACTGGGAATACGGAAATCTGCCTGGGGGAGGGAGAGCTGCCTTGTGTCAACTGAATCTCAGAATGTGCCCCTTCCCTCTAGGGCAGCTGCTGGACTAGGAGATGTAATTTGTCTGTCACGCTTTATTTCACAGATGTATTGAGAATTACACGGGAGCCCGGTGCGAAGAGGTTTTCCTTCCTAGTACCAAGGCCCAAAGCGAGAGTGAGCTGTTCGCAGCTTTCTTGACTGTAGCGCTGCTCCTAGGCATACTGACCCTCGGGGCCGTCTACTTCCTTTGCAGGTAAAGCTCGCTTCTGCTTCTGGGGGGTGAGAATGGGATCCCGTGTTCATCCAGATGTCAAAACTGATCTCTCCCCTTGTGCAAGGAAATGGAATGATGCCGTGCGTTGGCTATGCCCCACACCCCGTCCTCCTCTCTTCAAGTGTTCTGTTATTTCAATTGGTTTTTTTTTAAAGGCTCTAAAAGTGATGAGGGTCATTGGGAAGCTCTGTTACCCTGGGTTCTTTCTGTGGTCAGTGAATCCCATGCCATTCATTCAGCTACCCGGACAGCTCAGCCCCAGGGGAAATCCCCAGACTGAGCGGATTCACGTGTGTGTGTGTGTGTGTGTGTGTGTGTGTGTGTGTGTGTGTGATGCTTGAAAGAATGAAAACAAAACTCATCTTGCTAACCTCAGACCATGTTCCCATCCCTGGCAAGTTACATGATACTTTCAGAATTTAAGCATGAATTGCTAATATTCATGGTCAAAATAATTTTAAGAGTAGACCCAAAGATTATAGCAAATTTATTTACATAGAATAAAACTATGCACAAAAATTAGAATCAGATCTTCCCTTTTTAGTGTTTTCTTGAAATAATAACTAGCGTTTGTATAGTACTTTACAATTTGCAAAGCGCTTTACAGATGCTATCTCATTTGACCCTCACAACAATCTTGGGAGTCAGGTGTTATTATCATTCCCATTTTATAGATGAAGAAACTGAGACAGCAGAGGTTAAGTGACTTGTCCAAAGTGTTAGAGGAACCATTTGAACTCAGGTTTTCAGATCCAGCACTCTATCCACTGTACACATAAATACTATAAAATATCTGGGTATGGAAAAGTAAATTGTTTTTTTAATTCATGAGTATTAGCAATCTAATGTAGTAAAAGAGTTTAGGACTTGGACTTAGACTGGGGTTCAAGTCCCAACCAGCTCCATTGCTTATTAGCTTTGTGACCCCTAGAAAATTCACCTCTCCCTTCTCAGCCTCAGTTTCCTAATCTGTAAGATGAGGCTGATACTTGTATGACCTTCCTCATCACTTTCATTTGTGGGTGAAAATCAAAAGAGAAAATTCGTGTGAGAGTGTTAAGCAGTGTACAGCTTCATTCAAATGGAAGCTCCCTGAGGGCAGGGACTGTATCTTGTTTACCTTGGCATCTAAACCAATATCTCACCAGTGAAGAGCCTTGGGTCCTCAATAAAATGATTTGAATGAACCAATAACCATCATCTAAAATGTATTCTATGCCCTCATTCGCTAAATACCTAAGAAAAAAACTCAATCCAGAAAGAGTTTCCACTTTGAGTTTATGTTCTAGGAATGAAAGACACCCTCTAAGGATACCTGCATCTTGTGAAAAAAATAACAAGAGGATTAACTAGCAGCAGTGAATGGCCGGCCTTTAGACCATGGGAGGACATAGTTTACTACTGATGGCTCTTTAAAATATATGACTACAGACATTTCTTCATCAAATATTTAAGCCATTGTGTTGTGTTTGTCATGATTTTATCTCATCTTCTGGACTTCTGAGAGAATATCTTTATGCAGTAGGATGTTTTAAGAGTTCAACTTACTCCCTGACTTGAAACATTTGAAAAGAAGATATTAGAGCTCATATATTATTATTCTTTGTTCTTTGACTAAAGGAAAGAATGGAGAGATATGGGATTGGGTACATATGGGATTAGTTGAATAAACGGACTTGATGGTGCTGGTTAATGGAATGATGTCAACTTGGAAGCAGTCTCTAATGGAAGACCTTGGCCCTGTTCTGTTCCACATCTTTGTTAGTGAGCTTGAGGAAAATGTAGCATGGCATCCTTATCAAGTCATAGAGAAATAGCTAAAACATCAGATGATAGAATCAGGGTCCAAAGAGATCCCAAAGGTCTAGAACCATAGGCAGGTATAATAAGAAAAATTTAATACAGATAAAAGTAAAATTGTGCATTCAAAAATCAGTTGCTTAAGTCTAAGGCCATGGGATCATTGATTCAGATCTTAAAGGTTATCCAGTCCAGCCCCCTCATCTCACAGATAAAGGGAGATGGAGTCACAGGGTAAATTGGAGAGCTGAGATTTGAACCCAGGTCCTCTGATTTAAAACCCTGTGTTTTTTTTTCAGGGTACCATGAGACATGGCTAGATGACAAGCTCACTGTGAATATGTGTCATGGTAACCTGAGAAGCTAATGTAATTATAAACAGCAGTTTCATTGATAGAAGCCTCACAACCAGAAGAAGGGAAATGATAACGCCATTGTCCTTGGCCCTGATCAGCCAACATCTGCCATATTATATTCACTCATGGCTGCCTCATTATAGGAAAGCCCTATAAGTATGTTCAGAGGAGAAGGCCCAACATAATGAAGGCAAAACTCTGTTAAAGGATCTGTCTGCTTAGCCTAGAGGAGAAGAGACTTTGGGAATCATGATTCATAGATCTAGAACTGGAAGTGGCCACATCCAACTCCCTCATCTTACAGATGAGGAAACTGAGGTTAAATGACTTCCAAGGTCACACAGGAAGTAAATGTTCAAGGCATGAGCCCTGTCTTCATACCCTCAGACAGGCTAAGGTACCTGAAGGTTCAGGGGTCAACCTTAAAAAAAAATACTTCCTGGCACTTATTACCAAAATGGAATGGGTTGCCATGGGTAGAGGGAGAATATGGAATGTTGAGTGCCTGTCACTGGAAATATTTAAGTGGAAGCTGGATGGCTTTTTGCCAGGGATGACTCCTGAGGTCCCTTCCAGTTTCTGAGGTTCTATGATTCCAAAAGTCTTGTATGTTAATAAAAAATTCCTCATGAATCTCCCTGTTCATTTATTGGGAAGACAATAGTAGCACCCCTTACAGGTGTTCAATAGGAAACATCCCAGCTGTTATCAAGGGGATTTTAAGGTAACCTAATATTTACATATTCAAACAGTGATTAGAATGTTTACATTCTTGGTGCTTTGGCGTTACTCTGTCTCCTTTCATTTGGAACCTTTCCCAACCCATTCTTCATGGTCAGGAGGCTTGTGTGGTCTGGACCAGGACTTTTTTGAAAGTCTCCAAGTCATCCACTTAGAGGTATAAGGCATAGTCAAGTTAGAAGAAAAATGAAAGATGGGGGAGGGGGAGAAAAAGCATGGGTAGAAGGGGAATCGAAGAGGAAACACATGTGAAAATAAAGTTAAAAACCCCGTACTTGCATTATTCTCTAAAGCTAGGATGTTGTGTCCCATTTCTGCCCATTTTCAGGCCCACCCTCCCTAACTCTAGAATCAAACAGAGCCTCAGAAGCCATCTGTTAAACCCATATGTGACAAAGGATCTTCTCTGAGTTCTGCTGGAAGACTTTGTGTGAGGGGGTGTTCACTCTACCTTAGACAGCTCTGACCATAATCTCTCTTTGTTGTTACTGTCGTTCAGTCATTTTTCAGTCATGTCCGATTCTTTATGACCCCATTGGGGTTTTCTTGGCAAAGATACTGGAGTGCTTTGTCATTTCCTCTCCAGCTCATCTCATCTTACAGATGAGGAAACTGAGGCAAACAGGGTTAAGTGACTGGCCCAGAGTCACACAGCTAGTAAGTGAAACCAGATTTGAACTTGGGAAGATGAGTCTTCCTGACTCTAGGCCAGATATTCTATCCACTGTGGCATCTAGCTGCCCCAAATCTTTCTTCACCTTAAGCATAAGTCTGCCTTTCTGTAACTTCTCCCCATTGTACTTGGTTCTGCCTTTAACCCCTCTTCCATATGGCAGCCCTTTGAAAGCGCCTCCATCATCATCTCCTTTGACAAGTTTTCTGTTTTCCAGCTGCTTTCCCCAGTTCCTTAAACTGCTTCCCATATGACATGGTGGTCAGTCCTCTCACCAATCTGGTTTCCTTCTTTTGGAAACTCTTTATGTCCCTCCTAAACTATAGTATCTAGAATGAAGCGCACTATAGGCAGTATAATTAGATGGGTAGAATACGGAAATACCCTAGACGTAGAATACATTTTCAAATGCCTGGCTGAAACCTATGGTTTTCATGATATTGTGAACAGAATGGAGAAATAGAGTCTAAATGGCACTTCTGTAAGATAGGTTCAAAAATGGTAGCATGTCCGTATCCCAAAGTAGCCATGAGTGGGTTGATGTCAACTCAGAGGTCCCTAATGAAGTTCTCCAAGGATCTTTCTCAGAATTGTGCTGTTCTAAATGATTCTGATGGAGTCACAGATCTGTCCTGAGGGTAGGGGCTGTTTTGTTTTGTCCTTGTATCTCTAGGACTAAAACAGTATCTTGTAGTAGGTGTTTGATAAGTAATTATTGAATGAATGCATAGATGAATGAATATGAGGAACTGAGGAAGATGTCAGGGTCATGAACCTGGATGACTAGGACCATGGCGGTGCTTTCAACACGGATAGGAAAGTTAGGAAGAGCTTAAGTTTAGAAAGAATGAGACTTTGTTTTCCTATTTGGCATATACTGAGTTGATTTGCCAATGGAACATCCAAGTGAAAATGACCACCAGGCAGCTGGTGATGTGGACCTCAAGAGGGAGATCCAGAGCCTAGAAATGATTGTTGATGGAAACTGATAACGATCATCAATAGAAAAGATATGGATTATCTTCCTATCTCCTTATTACCAGGCATAGGATATCAAACTTAGTAAAGTTCGATATGCTTATTAACTTGTGCTTATTCAGTATAACTTATTAAAGGTGCTTATTAAATATGTATTGAAGAAGCTAATGAATCAGGGTAAAAAAAAGGGCACTCAGGGATTTTTAAAATAGCAAAAACACCCCCCTCTTGGATGGAATTTTTCCATTTGTCTGCCTTATGCCTGTGGAGAAATGAGACCATTGGCTAGAATCTATTTGGAGATGCTTACTAAAGGCTAACTACAAAAATGTTGAGGCACACGTGAGATTCTGAGGAATGTTTTGTCATGCGTAGGGCAAGAAGAGGCAGATAGTAGATGTGTAAGGGCATTTCTCTGGATAGAGAAGGAC